TAAAAATGTCTGTCCTCTGGATGCCATTTACAGATTTTCAGTAGAGATCTTTTCCTAAAAAAAGAGCAGTATGTCAATTGTGTATGTCAAGCAGGCTTTTGAAATAGTTTTTGACCTTTCTCATTTTATAGGCATGGGAGCTAATGGTCCTCCAAGTAAATTATGATACTGGATACCAGAACCCAAGTCTTCTTCCAATCATTTTAGTACACTTACTCCGTGTAATGAAGACTCTTCTGCACATTTCAATTGGTGATTTATTTTATTACTACATTTCAGACCTCAAACACCTTATAATCACAGTTTGTAAACAGTCTCCTGCCTACTAACCGATTTCCCTGATTATATTTTGCTTTAATAGAAATAGTTTAGAAATATTTTCCTCACAGGTATTTTAGAATAATAGGAGAAAACAACCTTTGACTTTCTTGAAGGAATCTGAAAGACAAATATTAAAACAATAGCAATAAGGCCTATTTGTTGTCTTCCACCATATTTAAGATCATATATTTCAAAAAACACAGAATAAAATAAATTTAATATTTCATTGTGACTTCAGAATTTGTGCATGCCCATAAACTGTTACTGATTGGCTACAACAGGTAGGGAAACTGAGCATCACTTTGTTAGCATTTTCCTCATTGGTGAGACACAATACCCAACACCCATAATTTAAGTAAGTAGAGGCTTAATTAGATCCATGAGTTTCATCCATGATCAGCTGGCTCCATGCAGACACAAGGAAAGAGGTGATCAACTCATGGTGTCCAAGAAGCAGAGAATACAAGAAGGAGCTAAAGAAAAGAATATACCATTCTAGGTCACAACTATAGTGACCCACTTGCTAATGGTGAGCCATATCAGCCATGTGATTTAATCGCCTTCCATACATATGATAATTTGGGAGAACATTTTTAATCTAAACCACAAAAATCAGCTTTTAGTAAACTTTAAAGAAAACTGATATAACTACACATTTATGTAAGTGGAGAAACTTCCCTAGACAGAGCAATTGCCAGTATTGTACAAGTTTAAGGAAAATGGCACTAGCAAAGTATGCTTATAGGGTAAATTTGGGACAAAAGAGGGTGAGGCTACTGGAAAGTTTAGCACTATTACAAAGAAACTAAACACCCTGTGTAGGAATAACAAAAAAGCGCACTTTGAGGGCATCCCAGGAGTCAGTAAGTTTCTGTCTATAACAGATTCAATGGTGCAAATTCATAAACATTTCATATAGGAAAAGATTCCTTGAGTGTTCTGTTCCCGAAGGGTCACATACAGAATTGGTTCCTCAGGATGCAGTTCACTGTGGGCAACCATCTATGCACTCAGATGCTACTGTAGGGGGCTACGTATTTAGCTCAGTGGCATAAACACCTGCCTTACAAGCAAGCAGTGGTGAGTTTGATCCCCGGTACCCATTACAAAAAAAAAAAAAAATACATCAAGATGCTACTGCAGTCATGGACTAAGAGGGGTCTGGTTCTGCCCATATTCTCATCACATTTTGGCATCACATGTGTGATTCTAGTTTAACCACTCACAGAATGTAAGAGTTGTGTGGTCAGAGAGGCTTCCACCAGTGTTTCAAACATGGTGTGTTAGTTCAGGCAAGGAGCCACTGACAGGGCAGTGAGTGAAGCTGTGGGAATGAAGGTTAAGATGCTGTGGAGACCTGAGAAACTCAGAGATGCCAGGAATGTGGATCATTTGCCAAGGAAACCTGCAGGCTGTGAGTGTACACAGCTCAACAGAGGTTGGGTGGGCGGCAGCCAGCAAGGCCATAGTAGTGGGATGGCCTAAATCCTTTGAAATTCATATCTTACTACCATGCCTCAGATGCTCAGTGTGGAGCTAAAGGACCTAATGTCTGCCTTGTTGGGTTTCGGAATCATTTTGCTCTAACATTTTTTTGTTCTTTGTTTCTTCCCTTATGGAATTAGAATGATTGCTGTGTTTCCTTATAGCTTGAGTTATGTAACTTGATCTGTCATTTTTGCAGAGGTTCATGCCTAAGCTGTTGACTTCAACCTTAAATGAGACTTTGTCTCCTGGAAAATGCTGAAGCTGCTATGATTGTGAGGACAGAATTATTGTGTTTTCACTTTGATGCAATATAGTCATATGTGTAAGGCAGAATTATTAACAATATTCTGTCTATTTGGAGATTAACTGTGGTCTAGGGAGATGTATTTGGGTGCCAAGTTAACAGGGGTAATTAAACTTAATTGTGACAACTTGTTTATCTTGGTATCTTCTCAGGACATTGGTAGCATACATGTCTGAGAGAATCATAGCGGGACATGGAGGCATGACCTTGGGTGCTAGGTTTCCACACTCCCCACTTCTTTGCTGATGCAGTTGTCCTACTCTGCTTCCTGGCAACCATTATCTAAGAATATTTGCATCGTTACCACTTTATGTTATGACGTTTCTGCTTTGGCTCCAGCCAAGCATAGGTTTGTTCTTTAATTTGTACATGTTGAGCATTGAATCCCAGAGATGAAAATGGTGACTAATATATTGCATTCCTACATGCATATTTTCAGAAAACCCTAAACACAACACTGGCACTATTACTTTCTTCTTGGAATAGTCCTGAGTTAGCCAAAGGCTAAGTAATATTCTTTTGTTTCCACACAGACTAGAGAGTGTGAATCACCAGGTAACAGGAACAAAGAGGGAAGCAGTGTGTGGTCTTATGCCTTCCTCTTCTTCTTTACTCTTATCTGTTTTGTTTATGGACTGTGTGAAGCGGTAGTCAAGCCATGTCTCAACACTATAAATCACCTGAGCCCCAAATCCAACTGCAGTATGGGGAAGCACAGCTGAGCATGTAGGTTAGAGCAGGGGAAAAATACAGATGATTATTAAGGACTCCTCTACACCACAGGTTGGGTGAAGTGGCAGTTTAAAGACTTACATGGATTTGAATTTTGGACAACTCTCAGATGAGAGTCTTATATATCATTTTACATATATGGAAAACGAAGCTCAGAGGAAATAGAAGAATGTTCGAGAACATTAGACCAAACAGTACAGTGCTGTAGTTGGAAACCCGGGGCTTCTGGTTCTGTTGTGGAAGCCAATAGCACAATATCTGAGAAGCCTTGTGTGGAAAGCCAGTGAGGAGCAGAGAGAGGCCTTGAACATTTGATGGACAGAGATTCTCAAATGTGGACCCTTGTACGCAAGGAGACGATCACATCATGGCTTCATGAGAATCCTATTTCTAATTTACAACAGCACATGTGTATGTTTATAAGAACGACACGCACTTTGCATACAATATATAAAATCAGATTTGAAGAGTATACTTATAGGTCTCCAAACATAAACTCAGTGCCTGATGGATTTATGTTGCTGGATGGCACACCTAATCACTAGTAAGTTATGCATTTCTTCTGAGAATGAGATAGATGATTGTGTAAACAATGGATGATAAATAAACCAGTAATATTCAGTAACTATAAAGAGCTATTTGTATTCCAGACCAGATATTAGTGCTTAGTGGATTATTATTTTGAATGTCTGTCTGTCTTTAAGAAAACAGATGCAATATTACACATAAAACATCAAAGCATTAGTTATCAATCTATTTAAAGTCAAAATTTTTAATTAATTAAATTTATTTAGGCTGGGCATGGTGGTGCATGCCCGTACCACCAGCATTTGGAAGTCTGAGACAGGAGGATTGCTGCCAGATTGATGACAGCTCAGGCTACAAAGTGAGTTCAAGGCCTGCCTGAACTGCATAGTGAAACTCAGTTTCAAAAGACAAAAAAATATTAGCACATTTTAGGTATACATAATGATCACATCCATCATAGTAAGTTTGTATGTGTACATGATACAACTTGATTCCTTTATTTCGCTTTGCTCTAACCTACCATCAACAACTCTTACCCTCCTTATTTATGAATCTTTGCTTCCATGTTTTTCTTTCTTTTCTCAATTTTTTCTTTTTGCTTCCTCCTTTTGCCTCACTCCATTCTTTAATTTTCCTTCCACTTTGAAAATTATCAATTTCACATCATCTAGTATATATTTTAGTCCTCATTTACAATTTTGGTTTCCCACACCAGACAGAAAAATGAAGTGTTTACACATGTGTGTCCAATTTATTTTACTTAAGAGTACGGTCTCAAGGTGCAATGCTCATAAACTAATGAATGGAGAAAGAAGATGTGGGGTTTTTATACAACAGAGTACTTCTGTGCCATAAGGAAGAACAGTTTGGAGACATTGCTAGCTATATGGATGTATCTTAAGCGCAAATTTTGTATATTGAAAGTACAAAATTATAAATGAATAATCAATTATATCATTATGATCATAATTTCTTGCCTTTTGTTTTCTTCTACTTCTTCTTCTTCTTTTTTTTTTTTTTTTTTTTTTTTTTTTTGAGAATCCTTGTATTGAACTGAGTACCTCGCTCTTACCAGGCAGACACTGGGCCCCTCAGCCATGTCCCAAGTACCGATGAACATAATGTTTAAAATGTCCTTTCCTTTTTATTTTCTGTGTGACTGCTAACTCGTCTTGTAAGTGCTCATGTCCCGTTAGCTGATGCCAACAGTACGGTATCCTCTCATCTGACACACACATTGCTGATGCCTTCTGATCTCAGAGGTCCTCTGGCATGAAGAACAACAACTTCCCCACCTGAGTGATGTTCTTCGCATGGTGACAAGTTGCCAGTATCAGTTTGGAAGCCCAGCATTCCTGGAGCACCCCCAGACTACTTTCTTCCGACCAAAGGTCTTCCTTTCTCAGAGGCCCTCAGAATGTCTTCCCTGCCCTCTACCATGGCCAGCTCCAGCCCAGAGGTCACTGCCCACACTTTCCCCATTGAAATTTCTCCCCTGACATCATGGATTTCAAGGCCCCATGCTGAGAACAGCTTCCACCCCTCCCACCTTGAGCAGGCAGCTCCTCCTAGATGCCCATGGATGCCTTTGTCTCAAAACGATAAAAAAACAAGAGAAACACTGGCATCAGTTTAACCACTTTATTAACCAGTCTGATGACAATAGAAAAGGCTGACACATCTGTGGATGTTTGAGGGCAAGATGAGGCTGTTCACAAGGTGTCCCCAGACTGGGAGAAGCAGGCCTAATCACTTCTTCTTGGCTTGGATGATCTCATCCAGGAGAGCTTTGGTGCTGTCTCCAAAAACCTGACGAAGTTGCTCACTCTTCTCTAGTGCCCTCGCCAAATGCTCAGGGGAGATGCGTTTCTTGTGCCTGCGATGAGCCACTCTAGCTGCCAGGTGCAGGGCACTGGCTGTCAGGTATTCAAGAATTCCAGCGAGGAAAACCGGTGTGCAGGCCGACAGGCGAAGATAGCCGTTCTCTCGAAGGTAACGCTCCACACGGCTAACAGGAAACTGTAGTTGTGCTCTTGTAGAGCGGGACACTGGATGCTTCCTTGGCTTGGAGGATATCCCTTTGCATTTCTTCGCAGCCATGATGGTTGCTGTATTTCAAATCAGGTGCCCCTGCTTGATTTTTCTTGTGGCCTCAGCCTCTGAAAGTTACAGACCTTGTGGCCACTCACCTGACTTGCTGTGCCTCTTATAGGTCAGGAGTAGGCTTTGTGACAACCTTGGCTTTGTGATGTCACTGGTGGCCACTGAGCTCAGGTCAAGCCTCTGGCCAATCAGGTCTGTGATATTAAACTGTTTGCCCTAGTAAGTGCATAGTTTTTGAGGGAACTCTAAAATTCTACATAATGTAATACTCTAGAAAAAATTTTATTTAAATGAAAGCATTACCCAGTGTTTAGCACACCTTTCAGGTTCCCTGATTGCAACCTTGCATTGTGTTTGAGCACTTTCATTCTTTTGTGAGCCATTTTTTCACAGAAAGAATGCAGATGCCTTTGTCCAGTAGAGGTCCATTTGTTTCCGTGATTGTGGTGTCATGAAAACAACTTTGTTTCTATTTATAAAGTTACTTAAGAATTCATCATAAATATTTCTGTGTCCACTTTGGATTTCTCTTTTCGACTGCTTATATATCTGTCACTTCTCTCATAAGTTAAACAGATTCTTTCAGAATAATTCCATTTTATATATCATTCAATATGATTTACTGCTTGAAAATACCATACAACTGTTTTATAGGTCACATTCTCATACCTAGTGTACTTAACCCGTCAAGAATCATAAGACTGATGTTTAACAGATACTAATTTAAATGTGAAGAATCTTTTCCTGATTCTGCAATATGTGTTGAAAGCATTGTAGGTTTTTACAGATTCTGCTTATTCTGAGTATTATCTGGAGGTTAACTTTACTATTTATGTTTATTTCATTACCAGGAAAAAATACAGCCAAGTTTCATTTTAAAAATCAAGAGAATGACAGTAGTTAATACATTGAATATTGTTATTTTAAAAGTACTAATTCAGAATACAAATATGGTCATACAAAATTTTCCAAATGGTATTAGCGCATACCTGTCTCTTTAATGAACTAAGAGAAAATAGTAGGATAACTATCTTTTATTTTTGCCTTAATGTGTGATTTCACTTTCCCTTTCCTCACCGTGTTACCGATTTTCTTTTGAACATTTATTTCATATTTCACAATATGCCTTGCACATTCTTGATCTGAAATACTCTTTCTGTATCTCACACCAGGGAGACAATATGATGCTTACACATATGAATCTGATTTCACTTTTGAGTATGATCTCAAGTTACATCCAATATAATACTGTCAAGTGTACACTTTTATTTTGGCTATGGCTATTTAAGGTTCTACATGCTTCACAGATCTGAATGTCAGTTTTGATTCTCATGTTTGCAAAATTTTCAGCTATTACTTCTGTAAATAGCCTCTTTATATCATTTGTGTTGTCACCTTCTTTTTCATTTATACTTATCAAGTTTATGTTGTTTTTCTTTGCATCATCCAACAGCAGTTGAATTGTAATTTCCTGATTCCTTGTTATGCTTAAAAAATCTTTCCTATCCTGTTCAATAACTTCTGTTTTGTCCTTGAGGTCAGAAACTCTATCTTCACAATAATTGAGCAGTTTTGTAAAATTGTGATGCAATTTTTGATTTCCCGTAAACCTCTTTGAATCTGATCCTCGCATTCTCTTTGTTTCTTATACTGTTCATTCAAGGTGTCCGTCTTTTTGCATTGCTCCTGCAATTTTTAACTATGCCTTCTTTAGATATTTTCAGCATTTCTTTCATTGCATTTATGATTGTTTCCTTTTCCTGGGAGACAATTTCTGATTTGAGTTCTTTTATAGCTTTCCAGAGTTATTTCTTTACTTCAGTTGCTATCATTTCAGGTATTTCAAGTGTGTGGCTTACATTTTCTTCTATGTCCATGTCTCCTAGGCTTGCTTGAGATGGGTTAGAGGTTTTATATTCCATTTTGCTCTCTGGTTTTGTAAATTTTCCTATATTTCTGGGCTCTACGTGATGCTGCAAGGCTTCCCTGGGCACTGGCACTCACCTCACGCAATTTTGGCTCTTGAGGAGGGATGCAGGCAGCTGTCTGCCACTCGAGGCTAGCTGGGCATGGCTGGGACAGGCCCACAGGGACATGGGGTGGGTCAGGTAATTTGGGAGCCTGGGCGTGCCTTATCTATCCCCAGTCATGTTCCAAAGCTTCCCTGTGTGTTGGAAATCACCTGACGCACAAGGCAGAATGCAGACAGCTTTCCACCTACCAAGAGTCACTGGGAATGGCCATATTGTTTTATATGGGTGAATAATGATTTAGTGTATAAAACGATCACCTTCATTCATTTCTCAATTGATGGGCATTTGAGTTATTTCCAAGATTTAGCTCTTACAAACTGTGCTGCTATAAACATGAGTGCACATATATCTGTATAGTGTGGTATTTTTAATTCTTTGGGGAAAATACCGAGAAGGGGATAGCTGGGTCAAATGAGACCTGTAATCCTAACTGTCTGAGTAATCTCCATAAAGATTTCCACAGTGGTTGCACCAGTCTACATTCTCACCAAAATTGGAGAATACCTTTTTCCCACAGCCGTTGTAGCGTTTGTTGTTGCTTGATTTCTAAATGACAGCCATTATTTCTGGGGTGATATGTAATCTCATTGTTGTGTAAATATTCATTTCTCGAATGACCACTTATGTTGAAAAAGTTTTCACATATTTATTTGCCATTTGTGTTTCTTCATTGAGAAGTAGATATTCACCTCAGATTCCCAGTTTTTTATTGTGTCTTTGAATCTGGGGGCCTGGCTTTTTTTCAGTTCTTTACATACCCTAGATAGAAGTCCTTGTTTTGAGAGACATTTGGCTAAGAGTTTTTCACAATCTGTGGAATTTCTTTTAAATCTGTTGGTGATTTATTTTGATGTGCAAAAGCATTTTAATAGCAAGCAATCCTGGTTGCTGATTTTTTAAGTACTTCCTGTACAGTTTGGTTTTTATTAATGAACTCTCTAGCCACCCATATTCCTTTGGTATATCTACCTATATTTTCTTACAGTAGAATTAGAATCTTTTTGTTTTAATGTCTAGATCTTTCATATACTTTGACTTTAGTTTAGTGCATTGTGACCGATGTGGGTTTAGTCTTCAGCATGTGCAAAGCCAGCTTTTCCAGCACCATTTACTAAAGAAGCTGTCTTTTGTTCAGTGAACACACTTGGATCCTTTGCAAAGATAAGGTGAATGAGTCTATTTGTAACTGTCTGCATCTTCTAATCTGCTTCATTGACTTTCAGGCCTGTTTTATGTATTTATTTATTGTTTTGACAGTGCAATGCCAATTTTATCATAGTAGACTGTTAGTATACACTTGCATCAGGAATTGTTTTGTCTCTTGTCTTGTGATTATTGCCAAAGGTTGCCTTTCTTATTCTAGGTCTCTTTGTTACCAAATTAATTTTGTGAATGTTTCATCTTAACCTGTGATTCATACTAATTGAATTTTATGTGGATTGCATTAAATCTGTGTAAACCTTTTTTGAGACTATTGCCATTTTCACAATCTTGGTTCATTCTGTCCATAAGCAAGGGATATTTTTCATTTTCTGTTATTCTCTTATATCTTCTTTTTGAGAGTACTTTAATTTTAAATGTATAGTTCTTTTACACTTGTGAGATTGATTCCTGTATATTTCATATTTTTCAAGGCTGTTGTGAAAGGGATGGTTTCCCTAATTTCTCTTGTGATGGGTTTGATTTTGTTGTGTAGAAGAATGTTATTGATTTTAGAATGCTGACTTCATATCCAGCTACACTACTTAATTTATTAATTCTAGAAGTTTTTGTTGGATATTTTCTGGACATTTGTGTAGAGTATCATATCATGAGCAAATAATGATAATTTAGTTTCTTCTTTCCTCTCTTTATTCATATCATTTCTCTCTGCTGCCTAATTGCTCTGGATAATTTTTTCAGAACTATATTGCATATGAGTGGTAAGAGTGGATATCCTTGTCTTGTTCGTGATTTTAGATTCAAAGATTTTATCCATTTAGGATGATGTTTGCTGTTGTTTTCACATAGGCTTTTATCAGATAGAAATAAAGAACATCTATTCCAGTTTTATATAGGATTTTTTAAATCATGAATTAGAGTTGAATTTTATGAAAAGATTCTTTTTCTACATCTGTCAAGATGATCCTAGGATGTTAGTCTTTGTCTCTGTTGACATAGTATATTCCATTTATTGATTTGCACATGTTGAAACACCCCCGCATTCCTTGGATGAACCCACTTGGTCATGCTGTGTAATCTTCTTGATGATGTTTTGATGCCTTCTCTTTGCTAGTATTTTATTGAAGGTTTTTGCATCTAGGTTCACTAGGAATACATACCTGCAGCACTTTTTGGGGTAGGTCTTTCTCCTGTTTTCGTATAATGATAATACTTGCCTCCCCGGAATCTGTTAAGGAAAATTGTGTCCTCTATCTTTCATTAAAGACCTTTGGATGATTGGCATTAAATATTCCACAAATTTCTTGTACAATGCTGCCAAGAATCCATCAGGGCTTGGGTTTTGTTTGTTGGTGAATTTTTATTACATTTTCAATATCATTAACTTATATTGGTTTACTCAGAATTTTTATGACCTCTCTTCTGCTTTGATAATTTATGCATTTCTAGTTCTCTATTTTCTCAGCTTTGATAATTCATGCATTTCTAGGACCCTTTCTTCAGCTTTGATAATTCATGTATTTCTAAGATTCCATTTTTTGTTAAGTCCTATGCAAATGAAGATTTTTCAAGTAGATACAGATGATTCTCTGAATTTCTACCGGTTCTGTAGAGAATTAACCCTTTCATTCTTTACTGCATGAATTTGTGTTTTTTCTTTCCTTTTATGATACATTTGGCTATGCGTTTATCAACTTAATCTGCTTTTTTAAGAAACAGCTCTCCAATTAAGTAATTCTACATTGTGTTCTTAGTCACAATTGCATTAATTTTTCTCTGATCTTTATAAATTCCTCCTCTAAATGAGTTTTGTGTTTGACTTGCTCTCCTTTTTCTACACTTTCAGATGCAGAATTAAGTTGTTTAT